ATTTATATTTATATTTATATTTATATTTATATTTATATTTATATATTTATATTTATATATTTATATTTATATTTATATTTATATATATATATGCGATAGTTTGGTCCCAAAAACATTTTATGTACAGTCAAGTTAAATAATGGATTAAGCTTAATCGTCTAATCAAAAATTACTTAACAAGGTTTCTGGAAAAATGTATTATGAACGAAAAAAGGAAAAAAAGAAAATGTAAAACTCTACGTGTTTTAGGTAATTTTCAGTTTGCTGTTGCCATTCTTGTTTTTGATGTTCTTTGCAGATTTATTAGACAGATAAGCCTGCGCAAAAAATCTAGCGAAGAGAATGGCATAGCTAACGTACATGATTGTAGCAACAGTGATGTTGAACGGCGTAACGAGACATTCAACTTTGGCAATGTAAACGTAGTAGTAAGTTGTTATAGTTAGAAAACTACCCACAAACATTTGTGATAATTGAATTGAAGTGATCATCATGGCTAACCGTCTTGGCGGACGATATCCCATTGCTTTGAAGGCGTAGTAAGTGTACATACAACTGTGAATAAAACAGTTCATAAAAGCAAACCACTTAGCGTATCCAGCATCTTCCACATAAGAAAACCATGTGTAAAGAAAAGTTACGATGTGGTGGTACCAATGTAGAAATATTAACGGTTGTTTTCGTAATATAATGAAAAATGTATCGCCGAATTCAACTAGCTTCGACAGGGCAAATATATAGCCCCAGTAACCAAAAGTCGGATCTTGACTAGAGAAGCTGAAAAGAATATTATTAAATTTTTATTATGATATTATATTTTAATAAATTCAAAATTTGTACCGCATACTTGCAATGACATAGTTTAAAAAAGATAATTAAATCGTGGATTTTTATCCATTTTTCTACGTTTACAAACGTAATGAACGCAATGTAATGAAAGAAATGGATCTAAATCATTTAATTATTTGATTATCCTTATTCTTGTTGAGAAATCTGCCTGTGATATTGATTAATATCCTTATGAAAATATATGACTTTTTTTTGTTCTGAACACAATTCCTTGTGTTCCGTTTTCTGAGATTTCAGATATAGATACGCAATATGATCTAAATATGAAATAGTATTTGGCTTATCCTTTTTTTTTTAAATTATTTTATAAACCAAGATGTTCTATTACACAATGAAGAATTAAACGGAGTGGAAACTATAGTGACAAACGAAATGCGGTTAAAGTCAAAGAACGAACGAATATTGAGACAAATTTAATCATTTTAATTTATTAATTTTGGATATGTAATTATGAATATGTATATGTACTAATTGTTAAATTATATTGCATACATGTATTACATTGTTTTATTATAGCTACAAATTTTGTTTCATTTTTTTTTCAATGTGATTGTACAGGATGGAAACAAATGTTTGTCTGTGGCTCCTAGGTAAATTCTATACTTTTGATAGATTAGATAGATATTTTGATAGATTTGATAGATAGATTTGGTAAACATATAAAAAACATTTGCCTGACGCAAAATTTCTTTTAACTTTTAATTTTAAGATAAAAATTTTGTTTACGTTGTGAGGTGAAGGTGAAACTTTTCCAAGGAATCAATATTTTTCTTAAAAAATGGCAAAAAAATTTTAGTCATTCTTATTATTTTTCGAGAGAACGGTTAGGTTGCTTATCTATAGTTCCTTAGAAAAGTGTTACCTCCGTAATAAGTATAATACAACGCAAACAAAAAAAATTTTGACCTTGTTGATGAAGTTCAAGGTCAAGGTCAATTTTGCGGTAGATTCCTTACATATTTCTCCATCAAATGAAAGATATAAAAAATAAAATTCATTTACGATATCTGCGGACAAAATTTTCTTTTCACCTTGTATAACCACGGTGTCTTAGTCAATAAAAAGAATAAAGAACTAATTCGTTTCATTTATTCATCTTGAACGTTAATTAGATACTGAAAATTGTTTATAATATTAAAAATAAAACAATGTTTTACATTTGGTATACAGTGAAGTATCGTAGAACGACTTTAAAATAAATAAATATTATACGAATATTCTTTCTCATTACATTAAAACATTAGAATAAGAAATATATTATAACGAATGCAAAGAAACATAATCAGCCGCTTTTAAAACTTTTTTGAAATTTATTTTTTAATATAGAATTAAAATATAATAAATTAAATTTCATTTCAATTGTACGTAAGGGAATAAATTAAATTTCATCTCAAAATCTGCTTCGTAATCTAAATTACTCTAAATTTTTGCGTAATCTAAATTACTCTAAAATCTGCTTCGTAATCTAAATTACTCTAAATTTTTTAATAAACAGGTAACATAATAAGACTGTACATGTTAAAAAATAGAAACAAAAAAAAAGACAGTTTAATATAACCTATCGTAAAAATTAATTATTTTTAAAAAATATGAAAAGCAATTGTTAAAAACACACATAATATATTATAGTATATACACTCTTGCAATAAAGATTTCATAAAATTAATTATTATTTAGATAAGCTAGTGCTCTTACATTTATAAGTACATATATATCTATATATATTCTACTAACAGATATATTCTATATATATTCTACTAACTATATATATTCTACTAACAGATGATATAATGAGTTAGCTTCTAGAATGAATTAGTTTGTCGTAGAACACGTCCTCACTGTACATGACTCTATATTCATAAAAAGTTTTTATTTTTTTACAACTAATTCCATAAGAATGACATTCGATAAAATGAAAATTAATGGAATAAGATATAGAACTAAAGTTACCCAGATGAACATATGTTGTAGTGAAGTCCATGATGTTGCATTAGGTGGAGTATAGCAGGCATAGTCCTGCAT